GTGGAAAAATCTCAACTGCTCCTCTGAATGTGAAAAGACATCCTTGTCCGGCATGATCAAATCTGCTGCTAGTGATGAAGTACCATAGTACACAACTGTGTCAGATTTGCCTCTCTGGTATTGTGCAATGTAGTTAACTCACCATGACAAGTAACTTGAATGCACAGAGGCCTTCCCAAAATGCACTGGATTTAAAGTGCACTGCAACAGGTCATGCATGTTTTGCATGCCTCAACAGATGTGAGGTGGTTTGTAGTTCCCTTTCATTTCTACACAGTCAACTACAATAAAACATATACCTACTACCCGATGTTTCAAATTTTGTGACAAAAATAAATATATGTAGGCTTGACACAAAATCAGGTGACTTCTGTTGTAAGCCAGCAAAAGACACCTGTTTCTATCAAAACCAGTTATGATTTCATTTTTCAAGGATGATGAAAATTAACTGTGAAAATGACCTTTAAAAAATGTCTGTTTCCTGAAGCACAGAAACCTGATTTTCGTCCCGAGTGTTCTCACATTAAAATGCTATTTGCTCTATTGATAAAAAAGCTGCTTGTCTCTACTCAAGAAATGCAGGGAATGCATGTATGGGAAAAGCCCATATTTGGAGACAAATACTATGTAATTATTCCACAGTCTGACACGATGCTCTGCCCACAAAATTGAATGGATTCCAGACACAGATTTTGAGATACGGGTACACATCAGAGATGAAGTTAAACATTCCAGTTTCCAAAATTATTGAGAAAGGACACAAGCAGGAGGCAGCCACTGGCAAAATTAAAGAGACAATTCACCAGCTGGTGTAGCAATGAGCCCCAGAGGGGGCTTGCTAAATTAAATTAGGTGTGGGGGAGTGGGAAGAAGCTGATATGTACCTCGGGAATGGCACAAACACCTGTGGTAGATAGACTGCCAGCAACTGCCAGGATGCTGGGATCTTAAATGGGTTACGTAACCACTTGGGGGTTCATCAGAGCACCAGTTTGTTTGGGTGGTAACCAGGCAGGGTGGGAACCAAGGATTGGAACTTGTCCTTGTGCAAAATGAGCACACTTTGCAATCAGCATGGTTCAGGAAAAAAACTGCCAGGATTGAGGTTTTACTACAGTTGTTTGCTTCCAGACTGCCAGATGGTTAAGCTGTGATTTTAACATTGTCTTTTCAAGCAATATATTTTGCTTTTCTGGATGCAAAGGTTAAATAGGAGGAATCTGGATGCTGATAGAAGAGTCAGCATCTTTCAGTTTCTGTCACTGGACTTAGCAGGAAGTCAAAGAAAAAAACAAAAAACAAAACAGCAAGGGCTTTATAAATTTATCACTATTTTGAATGTGAATTTTTTTACTTTTTTATTGTTTGGCTACACTCTGCTTGAGACTACAGAATAAGGTTTGTTGTTTTTTGGGGGGATGAAAATTTGATTTCAAGATCCACTGTTGTACTGGTCTTGAAAAATTTGTCATGTCATTGTTAGCTAGAGTGGCGAGCGCTGTGTATTGGAAACAGCTCAGGTTCAGAACACCAACCGAGTGGAATGCTTATTAGAGGTAGTGTAATGCAACAGGAGTAACAAGTTTTCCCCAAAATATGAGGCAGACAGAGTCAATAACAACATTCAGCTTTCAATTTCCTTCTCAATAGCAAAGGTAGTGATACACTCTGACTGATAATCATCACATGCCCATGAAGGGAAAGGAGATAGAGTGAGTGTATACGCATCTGTTTGCTATTTCCTTTAATGTTGCGAAAGAAAACACTACCATTGCTTCACTTCCTACTATGCTGCCGGCCTGGTCCGCTGTTTGTTCAAAGTGACAGTGCGACTTTTGCTTTCATTCTTTATTTAGATATCCTTGCCATAGTCATGTGACAGTCATGTGTGAGGTGTTCTCTTTTGTCCCCATGCAACTTCTGGGCTATTTGCGGAAAGCATTCTATCAAAAGATTATCCGTTATCTTGTCATAATATCACCAAGTGACTGATATGGTTTAATGACCTAGAATGGATGTTTCCTTGCACTCTATGAATGGATCTATGAGAAAAAACAAGAGAAACAGACTTTCTTAATGTTGTTTGACACTAGTCGGGAGTCACAGCTAACCATTCACAAAAAGGTTAGGGAAGAAAAGTGTAACAATACTGAACACAAATGCTAAAAGAACCAAATGTGAATGGGGCACTATAAGCATTGTTATTATAATCATTTACTTGGAAGAGCAGGATCATTAGATAATGAATGAAGAGACAAAGGATAATGTATCATGCGAATGGTACAGAATTCTACAACCAATTTATAAATCAAATATGTAATGTGTAATGTTTCCTATTGCCCATTATCTCCAAATGTCCTCTGCCACAAACTAAGACCTCTACTTGCCGGCACAACAATCAAAAACTTTGACTTTTTCTGAAAAGCAGGGAGAAAACACCACAAACCCTGTGCCAAACAATAACATCAGGAATCCCCAGGTGGGAGGGGGGTTGACATTCCAAACCTGACCCAGCCCTTCTCAAAGAAAAGGATGTTATTTATTTTCTGAAGGCTGAAGCCCAGGGAGTGACTGGTCAAACAGATCTGTGCACTGATCACCACCACCAGTTTGCCCACTGTTGTGCCAGTTTTAGGGTCATGGGAGCCCTGAGGCCACAGACAGTGCTGGTCAGGCACATACTTTTACTGATTCCTTTTTTGATAAAAGGGTTTTTTTTCTTCCAAGAAAAATTGTCCCCCTCAAATTAGCCGCCTCGAAAAACATTTCCAACACTCTGGGTAAGGATTGTGACAAGGTTTCAACTTAAAGGAATGCTTTCCTGTTCATCATCAATTTCGTGATGAATATACACACATTAAGTTCAACCAGGTGCGTATTTTAAGTCCGATGCCTCATGGGTCTGACGCTTCAAAAGTTTGAATTTTCGGACTTATGAGGTGTCGGAATAATGAGGCGCCAGATATATGGGCAATTTTTTTTTACTCCATATCAAGAAGACATGTATAAAAACACATTTCACAGGCAGGACAACTTCCTGCATCTTTTGTCTTCAAAACCTGCATACCTCCACACAGACTCCAAATTTCACTTTTATCTGTCAGAATGACCAGGACTGGGAATAATCACAAGCACAATCCCGACTCAGTCCACTTGAAGAATAACAGACTGACTGATCTCACAGCTGTTTCCAGATTTATATCCAATGAGGGTTTGTGTTTGGCATACCCCACAGCCACCTGACTGTAGGTACCATATCTTTTGCAATAAACCACATGTTGTGAGGGTGGCTTCCGATCTTCCCAAACACATGTAATGGTTCTGTGTGCGACCTAATGAGAGGCCCCTGATTGCCAGAACATGGATTCCTACACAAGTGTGCTGAGATAGCCTGTGGAAAGCAATTATGCAAATCACGTGAAATACTCTACACAGCTGACTGATTGGTCTAATGTTACAGAACTTTCAGCCAACTGCGATGACTAGTCTGAAGTCTCCACCTGTAAACATTACAGGAGACGCATGATGGCGATTCCGCTCATTCTGATTGGTGAAAAATCTGGATATTAGCATAAGATATTAAATAGGGACATACCTGTGGAAATGCAGTGGGAGTGTGCATTGTGGGAGATGAACACTGGTAATGTCATGTCTGCGCATTCTGGGGTGATGGATGGAAGGATCAACCAAAGAGAAGTATTATCCAGCTATCCCAGCATGCCACTGGCATTTTAATGAAAAGGTCTGAACCTGGACAAGGAGTAACACGTTTCTTTAAAAGTCTTACACTGAGAATGCTGCACAAAATAAAGATCTAGATTCAAAATGTTTGATTATAGGCACGGGTTTAAAAGAGCATATGACTGTTAAGCAGCTGCTGGTAATGTGACATCACAATCTGTTTAGCTTTCAGGGGTAAAGGCAACCTCTATCCCAATATCATTCACAAAAGGCCCTTGAGAACAGTTGTCAAGAACAACATGTATACAGAAGTAAGATAAAAGCAGGCTCCAATCTTATTTTATTCGTGAAAATGTCGAGAGTTTGTCATTCAAACTTGATTTTTTTTCCCGTTTTCACAAATAGACTTGTATGTTATCCATAGAAAGTGTATGTCTAGCATTGCACTATCACACCAAGATAGATGTTCCATGTCTTGGACATAAGGACTTCTCATGCCCTCAACTTCCCTTCTGTGCCAACATTAGCTGGTAATTGTGTCCCTACCTAACAAGATAACCACAACACTGAACCATGAAGCAGTTTCTACCCGTTTACATTTCCCTTCTCAAAGAATAGCTAACCTTCTCTGGGAAGAAAGGCCTTCTAAAGTACCAGGATATAGAGGGATTAAGCGATGAATGGGAGATCCTGGAGGACTGGGGATTATCATCCAACCTATCTGGAGGGCAAGCAATCAGGTTGTTGTACCGACCACAAATACCACAATTATGGGTTCGCTTGTTTGTTTTAGGGGAAACCCCTCAACTGGGAAGATGGTCTTGCACAACACAACCCCTGCCGTCTCTGGGCTAACAATGTCCCCCCTGCTGAATACATAAACAAAGCCATCTCATTTTTGTTGCCCAGGATCATCTGTCTATCAACATTCCAAAGGCCTGCCAATAATATATCACAAAGGATGCAATTAGGAAACCAAGGATAACGACAGGGCTGAAGTCAGACAAAGAACCACTTTTTTAAGCTCATGGAATATTATTCATTCAATTCACTGAGCAATGTTGAGTAATTTCTTTCTACTATGGCTTGTTACATTTTTCAACATATTGATAAGGAAAAAAAAAGAGAAAGTTCAATGGTGACTGAACTTGTACTTGAACCCACTTGACAATGTTATCTCAGATGGAATCAACATGTGCCTCTTATCTACTCACATGAACTGAGGTAGAACAGCCCAGACACACTCAATCCAAACATGCAGATGGATCAAATCCTCAACAATACTTTCTTGTCTCTTGTGCCCTATACCTTAATTGAAGCCTGGGGCCAGGGATCCTCAGCATTAGGCCTGTCCCACCACTACTACCAAGTCTGGGATTTGTCAGTCTTGGAAACAATGGGCATTACTACTGGAAAGCATGGAGAACACTAGGCCGAACCGATCTGGTACAAAGTACAAGAGGATCATGCCAGATTTGTGGCCAAAAGAGGATTCTTGTTCCAACTTGAAAGGTGAGGCTTGCTAACACCATGAGCCCTCAGCCCTGTGCTCTGGTTGTGTAGCAGTATCCTATGTATTAGCTCTGTAATGGATAGAGTTGTCTGGATTATGGCAAGCTGGAGACAGATCCATTATGGGGCGCCATCAGGGCCAAAATTAATATTTTACAAACCATTGTTCCAAACCAAAAACACAGCTAAAAATTTAAAAACAAACAAAAGAAAAACTGCATAAACAAGGGAAATCAAGAAAGTGAAAAATGTAAATGAAAAACGAATGACAGAAAAATGAAGCAGAATTCTAAATTCTGTGAAAAGCATTTACACAATAAATTCTGAAAACCTCAAACGATCAGAAAAAGGAAAAGGTCAACAGACAAAATTAAATGACAAAAGGACAGAAATAAATAATAAAACACAAAACCAAATGATCAAAACCAAAGGATCTAAAGACAAAACTAAATTATCAAAGGACAGAGCCAAATGATCAAAGGAAACAAACTAAGTAAAGCAAACGTCGAGGGCGGCAATTGCTGATGCAATGACAGTGTGCGTAAATCCAATCTCGACTCCAGTGTGTCAAAGAAGTCATAGCTTGTTGTTGCAGGGATTGGACTACTAGCTGCACTGACCATAATAAAATCTCATCTGGGTCTATGCACTGACACTCACATATCCTAGAGTAGGCATCGTTCCTACGGTTATGCCTCTGCCAGTGCTGCCAGTAATACTGATGTAACTACGTTGGTGTAAATCTGTGCTGGAAATTGGGGGATGACTGCCAGGCCATGAAAATTTGAAAAGCCGGGGGGGGGGGAGGTTACATTGAGAAATTGTTTCCCCTTTTTAGTGATATTGCAAACATAGTTGTTTGGAAATCCTAAAAATTCTCCACAATCCGCCTTAATTTTTGCTCATTACAAAAAAGTGGGGGGGGGGGGAGATGATTGATTGCCAATCCCCAAGCTCTAAAAGTGGGACGGAATATATATCCCATCCTCTGGGATTTACGCCCATGTGTAACTGGTAGTGACATTTGGCATAACAGAACTGGGCCCACGCCTACTGGCCTAATGTTAGGCCTGGTGGTATAGCCTTACCAGTAGGCCAAAGGCGCTACCACCACGCGGTCTGTTGGTGGTAACGCCTCCATCACTAGCACTCTGTCATGAGCATTGAGTGAACAGTTCTTCTCGGTTATCATGACAAAATCGTTTTTCTATTGATAACTAAACTCTCCAAAAGTAATGAGCTATGACTTCTTTGACACACTGGATTCGCGATTGGGTTTAAGCGCGCTGTCACAGTATCAGCAGTTGCTGCCCTCAACATTTGCTTTTACTTAGTTCATTTCTTTTTGTCCTTTGATCATTTAGCTCTGTCCTTAGATCGTTTAGTTGTGTCCTTTGGTTGTTTAGCTCTTTGGTTTTGTTCTTTGATCATTTGGTTTTGTGCTTTTATTATTCATTTCTGTCCTTTTAAAGCTTGTTTTTGTCCTTTGATCTTTTCCTTTTTTCTGATCGTTTGAGGTTTTCATCATTTATTTCGCAAATGCTGTTCGCAAAGCAGGATTTAGAGCCAAGCTTCATTTTTTTGCTTTTAGTTTTAAATTTACCTTTTTCAGTTTATCAATTTCCTTTACTTATGCAGTTTTTCTTTTGTTTGTTTTTACATTTTTAGCTATGTTTTGGTTTGGAACATTTGTTTTGTAAAATATTAATTTTGGCCCTGACGGCGGCCCATAATCCATCACCAGTTCACATCAGTGAGGCACGTAACCTAGCCTGTAGTCTGTTTGGAGCAGTGGAGGGAAGAGGGAACTACAGGGTACCGCATGAGAAACAAGTGCGCAAGCTTACATCCTTACTTTTGGGGAAAAGTTTCGGAATTAAAATGAGGGAGGGGAGAAACGTCAGTAGGGAATGGTTGCAGAGTACACAAAATGGGAATTGATAAGACCAAAAAACAAACACAAACCAAATACAAAACCAAAACCCCAAAACACACAACACTGTCATGATTTCATGTAAAATGTTAAAGAATCATCTTCCAATACTCTCTCATCAGGACTTGATGACTCATCAAGGCAACTCCAAGAAAGGGCTCTGGATGAGTAATAATGTAACTTGAGGCCAATGTGTGGTCCACCTGAGAAAACAAAGTGAGAGTACCAGTTCATGAGCAGAAATATGGAGTAGCTCAGAGTGTAAAGGGGTGAATATTATCACAAGGTAACGTGGACTGTTACCATTTCATGAGATGAAGCTAAGGGACATGGTCAAGGGACAGTCCAGATTTTAATGAGTGGTAATATTCCTTCCATTTCAGAATTTATAACCAACATTTGCTTTGTATAAATGACATGCAGAGCCAAGTCGGCTGCATTGATTCAGTCCTTTAAATCCACGTTCTGAAATGGACAGGAATGCTGACACACCTGTTGGTCTTGGTGCTATGATTGTGTGTGCTTGTCAAGCAGTGTGTCTTGGCTCACAACCCTCTCCCTTGGTTTTGGTCTACGGAGTTGTGCAGTTAAAAATTGGTGAGGGTTGCCTGTTCAACAGCAGTGGGAACAAGGACAATCCTAACTGTTGAATAGTAAATCGCATCACCATGGGCGAATGGAACATTTTGAGTCCTGCCAAGAATGGAAGCAATAATGAATACCAAGTGATGTGAACTCCACAAAACAGATGACCAAGGTCTGTGCATCGCTTATATTTATGCAAACAGCACTCATAGTGACAAATCACTATGAAGAAATTTTGCGATAATAAATCTCCGTTAGCAGTGAAAAAGTTAAGTTAATTTTGCAGTTTACTAACACAGTTTTTGTGTACCCCTAGAACTAGGGGTGTGCTTCATCCAATTTGTAAGGGGTTGCACCCTGACTCAGAAGATTTTGGGCGGGGCTTGAGAGTCAACATGGGTTTATGTCGAGTCAACAAGTGCTTATACATGTACATGTGTATATTGGAAATATATCGGAATCTCTATCCACATCCATGAGGTGATTTACAGTATTTCTGAGGCTTGTTTCAAGTCAACTAGAAACTGGTTCATGATGCCCTGAAGCCCATCTGCTTGACAAATATCTCAGCCAATTTTGCTCTACTTGACATTTCCATTTCCATTTTTTGTCTAGACAGTGGTTTCCTGGTCTGAACATCTTCATTTCACAAATAAAACTCAAGCTGTCTTCACTAAGATCAAGATCAGAGAGTGAAGTGGAAGATGTTTTGACGCCTGATATCTTGCTGGCTTCTTGCTGAATGAACTTCACCAGAAAAACCTTTGCTGAAAATATTGCTAGCAAGTCTTCTGATGACACACACACTTTCTTGACAATCACTGAGTCAATTGTCTATCAAAAAGAGTAAGCAAGCACCCAATAAGTGGTTTGATAAACTTAAAAACCATAATATTGTAGTGCCGATAATCCTAAGGTCTGGGTTTTATTCCGAGGCTTGCCTTGAACTTTACCCACTGGTGATAAAAAGACAGCCTGGGCTGAAACTTAAACGGTGTGTCCACCATTCACCTCAACCGCCAAGCAGTCCCTAAGAGTTCATCTATTCTACAAATTTCTTTTCAAACACTGCTTTATTCTGGAATTCTGGAACGTTGGACATGACTAACATGGGTGACAAGATACTCAGTCATTACGTACAATGCCTGTGTTTAAGAACACAGTCTGCAATCTGACCAGTCTCCACAAATAAAGCCTCTATGGGCAGTGAAAGTTGCACAAATGAAGAGACAAACAGATTTCAGTGCACCGGGACTGGATAGTTATTACGGGTGGGTGTGGCAGCAAACATTTCTTCAACGGTGGTTGATGTTGTGGAAAGTTAGACTTTTTAATTAACCTATCCTCAGGAAATTGTCACTTAAAAAAGGGTAAAAAGGGAAAAACACTTCTCTGGACCACAACTGACCTTGACAAGTTTAATGTCCCCTTAAAAGGATGGATGAGACTTTCGCCCACACATTGGGGGCTTTTGGGCAGGTATCAGTTTAATGTTCCATCACTGGTGAGAAGTTGAGAACCAAATGAACCCCATCATTTATTGAACGTGTGTCTGGATCATGTCACTAACAACTTCAGACTTGGCTCATTCCCAAGACCCATGAACAAGGAGCTTGTCTACCAATTAAAGCCCAGACTTCTGGCTGAGTGTCTGATGGTGTGAGAAGTTGGTCTATGAACCTTCTCCCCCCCCCTCCACCTTCAGCGATTCCAAACCCCTTTGAGAAAACATCCTCAAGTTTTGTGAAAAAACCTTATCGTAAATCAGTCAACGGTGAATAAAATCACACAGACTCTGACTCTCGTGTGTCTACCAAATGCAGTTGCCTCCCATGAGGGCTTAAGCAAAAAAAAAAAAATCACAAATGGGGGGGGGACACTTCAGTTTTTGCATTGTACAAAACTTTCCAGCCAAAAGGCATATTTATTATAAAGTCTGGAAAGACTTTTGTAGCATTCCTAAACTCTGTAAAGCCACTTTCCACATTTTTTTTCATAAACATGTCAGGTATACAGTCATGCAGATTAAACAAGTTTGGAAGCTGTGGTCTTTTTTGCAGGCAGTGAATGAATGGGTTTAAAGAACGATGCTGACGGGGAAGGTAAATTAGGAGCATGTCAATAGAAGCATCTTCTGTTTTTTTTCACAAAGCTGCAACATGAAAAGCCATAATTATTCAGAATGGTATGATTTTATTTCAGCTGTTTCCTAGGATGGACATTAACCCGGTTCTGTTCTAATTATGAAAGTCATCTTGCAGTCATGCATGCATGACATTACATTAACTTTCTGGATATGGCAAAATGACCTCTCCAGAAAAAGCCACTGCCCTTGTCTCTCCACTAGGCTGTCATAAATTTAGGGATATTTATGATCTTGATCTTGGGTGAGTGTTGACTGTGTTTTGAGGGGAATAAATAGCCCAGTTGGCTTTTTTATGACATTCCTTAATCTTTGTTGCAAATGGTGAAAAATGTACCACGCAGTACCAGACTCCAAGTTCTGAAGTAGTTAATGGTGACTGAGATTTCATAACTTCACCACACCGTGTCAAATGCCAACGCTAAAAGTGATAAGTGAAATATTCTCAGGTTTTTTTTGGGTAGCACTCTTTCAGTGCTTGAATTCCTTGATGTTTGCACTGGTGTTCAACAACTTCTCACTGAGCTGAACAACCTCTCGCATGCAGTGTGGTCACACTAAATTTATGACCGAGGCCAATGGCAGGCAAGTTATCTGTATGTTTTGACAGCCTAAGTTGCATGGTAACCAAGTATGTGACTTTATGTCAAAGCATGGGGTATGTGGTAATTTGGATAGAGCATTGGATAATGTGGTCTTTTGAGGAATAAGAAATTCATTTACAGCTATCGATCACAGATGTAAGCAGATTAATTTGAGACTGTATTCTGTATGGCATAGTGTCAATCAAAATAAACTATTTAACGGCAAAGGTTAGCACAAACCTTTAATTAGAGACGAGAGGTTAAAACAAGGAGAAAACAACATCAAGAAGTTGAAACTGAAGGTACAGGTGGTTTAAAACTCTTCAGCGAACCTTTAAAAATGGGGGAGGGGCCTTACAAACAAAGTGTACATGAAATCCCCAACTTTTAAACACCCCATGGAAGTATGTGTAAGTGGAACATAGGCTGGATGCCAAAGCGTAAGTGAAAGTCATGTGTTCAACGCACCCCACTCATTTCTCCAGTGACCCTATATAACCATAGCTAGACCAACTGCAGACTATCAAATTTTATCTCCATAAATCTGAGACACTCTGCAAAGCGGTGCCTGAGGGGCATAAATGCACCAGCCACGTCATAGAAAGTTTCAAGAAAGACCAATAAAAGTTCATTTTCGGTGTAAATTTCACTGCATATCTAAGCAGTGCAGGTGGTGGTTGAATTACAATGGTATTGTTTATTCTGCGGGCTATTAAAAGGTTTCCATGAAACCTCTGCAGTATTAATAGTAAGAAAAAGGTTCATTAATGTGCAATTAGATACCCGACAGTGATAGATGTAACAAATTACTGTGAATTTTGTAACATCATATCTACAAATATTGGGGTTTTCATATCTATTAATAGGAGGGTCATGAAGAAAAGGGGGAGGAAATAGAAAGTGCTTCCTTTTGGTCAAAATTCTGTTGAATGATCACAGAAACAGCAATAATTTGGAGAAATTCAGGAAGACACAGCATGGCTTTGAACTATCAAGAAGTTGACGTTATAAAGATGAACAAAGAAATTGACTAGAGCAAGATTTGAAGTTTGAACCAGCGACTTCCAGAACACTACTGGTGCTCTGTCAATATCAGGTTTGCTAGTAGAAAGCCATAAAACCTGAAATACCATATAGCCAGGGATCATGTCCCAAATAGGCCGACATGGTGCAACTTGGAAGTGGTGGACACCAGGGACGAAGAAGTTGGCACAGACGAAAATCTTCCTCAAACAGCAGAAAACAAACTGACTTGGTCTTTTTTATCCTCCCTCCCTCCCTTCCCCACCCCCCCCCCCAAGGCTACACCTGAGGTAGTACTTACTGGGACACAAGGTCACTGCTGAAACTAGTTCAGGCAGCTCATTTTTTTCCATGGGACAGTTCCAGGGAGTAAAATCAGAACTCAAACTCAACTCTACAGGGGAACTGGAGCATAATTTGGATGATTAGTATTCAAGGTGGGACAAATTAGATAATTATGGTGGATGATGATGCTGACAATCCAAAAGGAAAAAGAAAATGCTGTATCAGCTTGTGCTGCAGTTGTCATTTAAAGGAGAATCTGGCCCATTAATCGGTGTTTTATAGAATGAACGATTTAGTGAAGGTGTTAACAGCCAAATTTACTGGCTTAGCGAAAATTCAGACAAGGATCAGAAGCAAGCATGATGCTAGTGACAATTTGGCTTCAGGGTAACGGTGTTTTTTTTCCGCCAAATATTCTCTGTTGTGTCTCGGTCTGCACAAAACAGCTTTTGCTCTTATCCTTTGTCCATATAATAAATAATATTCAAGAGTTTAGAATTTTTTGTAAGGAATGGGGCTGTTACTGAACACGGTCTTGGGTGTAAAAGAAAAGAGGTAATGTTGTTTGGAAATAGCTCAATAATCCCAGAAAATGAAGACAATGTGCATTTGTAATGTAATTTTCAACCTCATACCTTGTAAATAAGAGAGCTACGTGTTAGTGAACAAAGATCATACATCAAGTTTGACAAAATTAATGTAACTTTGGTTTAATTTATAACCAAATTAATTCTAATCAATTCAAATATTAAACAAGTGTTTGGTTTGAAGTAGGCCTTTGCTTCAAATAATAAGAACGTTAAATCTTTCGACTTTTTTTTTCAAGCAGGATGTACAATTTTTTTGAGGGGGTCACACACTTGAACGAACATGTAGTCTGAAAAGACAATCTCTCTCCTACTTCCCCTGGATGGCACTTGCCTTAAAATTTGTAACAGATGGATTTGAAATCTCCATGGAGCAAGAGGGCATGGTGGCAAAGGTTAAAAGCAATCATTTCAGTTATTCAGTTGTGTCAGTAAGAAAACCAGGTGCACAGGTGATAAAGAGAAGAACCTGAAGAAGCGTATGTTCTTCATGATTCAACCTCATTCCCAAAAGTATTATGGGGGGGTAGTTTGACCAAAATAGAGCCAAACTTACAAAAGTGACGAGTAATTTCTCAAACCCACTCCTTACACGTACATTGTATACCTTAATACAACAGAATCAGTGTGAGAATTGAGCTTATTCTCTCCCCAAAATACAGGAGAGAAAATGCCTGTTGCCACATTCTGTGGGTGGATCATTCTGAGAGTCTGTAAGTCACTGCTTGGAGAGACCCTTTGGGGAAATTCATTGGTATTTCAGGCTTTTCCTGACAACATTTGTTGCATGTCTGGACAATCTCAAGCAATGTGCACACTTTTGACTCTTAGGTGTTTCTGTTAGTTGGTGCTTGGTATCTGCATGAGGACGCAAATGAGTTTTGACAGTAACTAAGGTGCACATCTTACTCAGCAATTACCCAACAATAACAGGGCTCCACTTCATGATTTAGAGGTCTACATCTCCAACACACCCTTAAATTGGTGCTACAGGTCTCCAATATCTAGATTCTTCAATTCCCACCTGCACGCCATCCAATCCGACCAACCCCAACTGGTACATAAAAAGTCCTGCAAAATAAGTCTATAATATTTCAGCAAATATTTGTTGCTCCTGCAGATGGCATCACATGTGAAGTTACTTGGCTCACAAATGTAACCCTGAAACAAGAGGCACAGGGCAGTTAATGTAATGAGGCAGAAATCAGATGGAATATGTCAAAGGATTATACCCACTGAATGATTCCGGAGTGAGATTTGAGGAAGATCAAATATCCAGGAAATGGTCACCAAGGTTTTAAGGGCCCCATAGCACCATAGGGTCTATGGTAGGCCCTATTTATATTTGCCTGAGGGCATACACCCCTTAAAATACCCATTTCTCGTGTTCTACATTAAAAATGTTACAGTTATACATAAAAACAGCTTAATGGTTAACTCATAATTTTCCAGATTTTATAACAGATTGTTTGAATAATCATGAAATCAGGAAAATCCTAATGACAAATCCTGAAACCAGTAAAAATCCTGACAAATCTCACCCCTGAATTGATTACGACTTATAGAGAATCTGTTTGACTGATGTAAATTCTTGTTTGGCCACGATGATTTGACTGTATTGTCTTCAATTTGACATTTTCCATGTCGGATTACTTCTGCCCCAAAAGCAAGTTGTCATTGCCAAAGGGAGTGACTAATTCACATTTTCTTTCCTTTTTCTGCCCAGAACTAAGACGTTTGAATTCCCTGCTAAATAATCACTGGGTGTTGAGAAAAATGAGGCAGTCAGACTCAACTGTACTAAAAATGAGTACAGGGAAATCTGCTTCCCATTTTCTATTCTGCACTACACACCACAGTTCACCGTTTCTACTGACCCTTAATACTTTGTGAACATTTTCTGTGAGCCCAAGTAAGTTTGTTATGACTGTACTTTGTAGTTGATCTTATCTTGTGAATATTAATCTTATCTCCAAAATAACAGGGTACTTCAGCAAGAGAACAACCCATTCTCAACAGCAAATTTAAAGGCCCACTTCCTTTAGATGCAGATACCCGACAAATCGTAGTAATGGGTGGGGGCTTTGAAAATGTGGATGCAGGGCTTCTGATTTTGCCACATCAGTGGTGAGTCAGGTGGGGTTGAGTGAATTGGGGTGTTGCGGTATTTGCCCATTACTGCTCAAGACACAGTGATCCTAAGGAGTAGGTGCAGTATTCCAACAGTGCTTGCCCGAAATGAAGTGCGCCCGAGGTGATATGGACACGCATGTGATGTCTGTCCTATCAGCCTGGCCCTATGTGGACTCGTGAGTATGCTTTGTTCTCGAATGACCTCGCTTTTTTGAAATACCAAACTGGCTCACTGAATGCGCACTAGAAGATTACTACTAGGGTAATTCCAGTAATTAGTGGTGCAAAAGTCAGTGTGACAATTTTGTGTCCCTGTTACATCTGACCTTGGTTATTTGACATGGAAACATCACCGGAATTGATTTCAAACTATTACTGTTTGTTTGGCAGGTAATTTGCATTAATTAATCACTCTTAGAAATTAAAAATGTGTTCTGAACTTACAAAATCATGTCAGACGTGACAGCGACATGACAAAAAATGGACCCCTAATTTCTGGATTTACCTGCTACTCAGTTTCACTCAGTTTGTGGAGCTGAAGTAATCAGCTATGAAGTCTGACATCTAGAATGACACCAACCTTTTTGAGAGTACAGACAGCAGTTTCATGACCCGCATAATGACCACTGGGTTACCAAAAGGTTCATCCTGCTGGTGGGGGGGGTAATACTGCACCCTAGAGTCCTAAAATGGCATGTGTGCAACACTGGACCAGTTTTTAATCCCCCAAAAGGGCAGGTAGTACTTGAATAAAATGGGATAAAAAAAAAAAACGAGCACAAGTGCAGGTCGCAGAAAAGGCTATGGTGAGAGACATTTGTTCCGGTTATTTGTCTTTTGGGTTTCATGAGAGAGAAAGGGCACATGGTGTCAAGTGTGGAGCAATTTGTGTGAACCCAGCTTTCTCTTCTGGGAACGTTGATCCCAAAAAGTGTGTTCTGCCTAGGTGAGAAACAAAGTATTCAAACTTGCTATACATTGCTAAAAGGTAGGTGTCCAACCTGTAAGTACAACAACATTGTCAAGCCAAGCTAATATTTCCCCCCATGGGATGAGTGGGTGGGTCTGTCTTCTTCCCGGGCCAGATGTAAGAGTGGTGCAAATGCATTTAAATTTAGGTTCCCTCAAATGTTACTGCATACAAACAAGATTAAGGAAGAGCAATGCAACCTTTCCCTGGTAAATTTAAATCTAGTGTACCAGGAAGCGAGCCAGAGGGAAGGGGGCAGATGGAAGAACCCACCTGCTAGCAGCAAACCGACAGAGGAAAGGGTCAATTGTGAAGTATTTTAACCCTAACCCTACATAATACTACAAATTACTACTTGTAGTAAAATGTAGTATTGAGCGCTGTCGCTTGTAAGAGGACATGACCTTACTGTTCTCAGAAGCCATAAGATACAATAGATAAGACAATGTATCATACAGTGCTCTGGCACTATAAATGCATGGCTTTATTGTTTTCTGTACAAGTAACAATGGAAGTAACCTAGCCAGAAGTAGTAATTTGTAGCGCTAGGTCCTTCAGGCTCAGACTATTACTTAGTATTTTGTAGTACTGTGTAGTGTAAGCCAAACAACATGCTTGGCGGTTAGGGTTAATACCAATTGGTGTTTTTCATACCCTTGGCAAATAGCTGTTTCATTTCTTTCCTCTTCCCCTCCCCCCATTTTTTTTTCCAGGAGGGACAAGTGCCCTGTTGTTCCCCCTGCAGGACATGCATGGGTCCAACATTCTACCAATGCATCCAACCCCCCCCCAATTCCTTCACTCCAGTCTGAATGCAGTGGATGTGGCATGACACCTCCAGGGACACGACAGTCACATTTCCTGGACTGCCTGCTGCAAATGCCTGCACTGAGGCCCTTGTTGCCTAGAAGCTAAGATAGCCACAGGTTGTTGGGCAAGTGCAGACTTCGCCCCTCACAGCACCTCAATGTGTTACCATGCCCTGCACCACCCCCAAGGCAGTATCCCAATAATGTTTAAACAAGCCTGGCCCCATTCTCCACATTTCTGATATTAGTGCAGATGTTATTAGTTATCATTTTTCCCCTTGCAGGGGGGGGGCAAACTGTAACCCAGGGCAGCAATGTTGCTCTGTCATCACCTGGAGACCTGAGGCTGTCAGGCCTGAATGTTATAAGTGACAAGAACAAGTGTAAGCTATTTCATTGATTGGGTTCTGCTGTGAGGGACTTCCAGCATGGAAAGTCTTGACATATAGGATATGGTTTACAATCGATGTGTTTGAAGGGTCCCCCCCACCTTCCCTTAGAAATGTCGAGGATCATTGATCTTGCTGGTCAGAAAACAGATTGATTGCAGTGGTTTTGGGTAGAAAAGGTGGCCATGGGGGAGATGTGAGTGATTCACTTAGGGAAGGAAATCCACAACTTGACCTAAAAAAACATGAATTTCACATTCAAAGATCAAGATCTGTATGAAACTATACGCTGAAATGCACTGATAAAAGAATCATTACCCATATCAAAGTATCAAAGCCTTTTGATACATTCAAACCAGGCCTCGTCAAAAGACTGCATTCTCCCAAAAGCCCCTCTAGATGCACATGACAAATCTATAGGCACGCATGCCAAAGATACGAGTTGTTTCGAATGAGAACTTGTACGGTTGCTCACCTGCAGTTTTGGCACTGTTCATGCCCCCAGATCCTCTTGAGTGATGCTCAAATAGCCATGGCCTCATGCTCACCTCCTACTTGGCAGACTCTCCATCAACCCTGTTTCCCCTAGATCTCTTACTATTTCCTGAGTCATCACTCATTCTGCAGGGTACCCAATCTTTATCTCCACTGAACTGGTCCTCTTGATGTTAAAACCATTCTCCAATTTCCTGGTGGTTGACATTTGGAGGTATTCATTTCTCAAGGCCTATGTCCAGCTTATCAAGTAGAAACATACTCCCCCTTAAAGCTGGTCACAAGGATAAACACCAGTAAGTAGTTCATGTTAGGGTGTGAGGTCTCTGAAGTTTGGTAACCATCTCGTTCAGAGTTGCTTTTGGCAAAACTCAGCTAAAATTGCACCTCCATATACATGAGTTTTTGGGGCCTGTTGTTCTAGCAGCTCCTCCATTTCTTCAGATCTCACAAAAGTGCCCAACTTCTTGGTGTCAAGCAAGACATCTTTATCCGCCAGCTCCACTTTCCTGCACCAGGCAACTACTTCATACATCATGCTCTATCCTCCCGCTGGTCAACCACTTCAACTTTTTTCTCTTGAGACCATGGTGTTCTGCAGTTGTTCAGTTTTGTCAGTGCATTTAAACTGATTCTCAGAAGTATTATATGTTACAAATTACAAATGGCTCAGGTTTTATGATCAATGCCATCCTCTTAGCTGTCTTCAGCATTTCTCTGAACCAGCCAAGGTTTCCCATCAATACATCTGGGAATATTCGTTAAACTGTTCAACAAAATGTCTGGTTTCAGATTCAGGATGAGGTTTTTGGAAAATTAAATTCTGGACTTTTGCTGTCCATTGAAAGTAGACAGGCTATTTTCATTTACTGGAGGGGTTTCCAGAAAATATTCAGTGCGAGGGCTGCTAAAGTTGTTGGAACTTTTGGAACTTTTCATTAGAGCAAAGGTAAAGAGGTCCTAACTCGGATCTTTTGAAGACCGGGATCAGTTCCTCTGTTGACAGTTGGTGTATGGCTGTCTGTGGAATCTGTAAGAGAAAGAAAACCAAAAATTAAGTGATATGGAGTAACGAAAAAAAGGAGAATGCAGAAATGAAATTAAGGACATTATAGAAAAACTATACTATTTCCATCTCGTTTACTGTTTTTTATTTCAAGAAAAACGTTAATAACAGAGAGACGAAAAGAGAGGAATAATTTCAAGAAGCTTACAACTCT